TCAGCAGGGAGCTGGGTAGGAAGTGGAGCAGCTGAGACTTGAACTGGCACTTATATGAGATATAGGCATTGCAGGCTTTACGATATCAGGTGGCCCTGATATCATCTTCTTCTTTTTTAAAATATAGAAATCACTTGTACTTCTATATGCTAAAGTAGAGCAAAAAATACAATTTCTGAACTATCAAATAAAATAGCACAGAGCCGGCGCCGTGGCTCAATAGGCTAATCCTCCACCTTGCGGCGCCGGCACACCGGGTTCTAGTCCCGGTTGGGGCGCCGGATTCTGTCCCGGTTGCCCCTCTTCCAGGCCAGCTCTCTGCTATGGCCAGGGAGTGCAGTGGAGGATGGCCCAGGTGCTTGGGCCCTGCACCCCATGGGAGACCAGGAAAAGCACCTGGCTCCTGGCTCCTGCCAGGATCAGCGCGGTGCGCCGGCTGCAGCGGCGGCCATTGGAGGGTGAACCAACGGCAAAGGAAGACCTTTCTCTCTCTGTCTCTCTCTCTCACTGTCCACTCTGCCTGTCCAAAAAAAAAAAAAAAAAAAATAGCACAAAAAATTCAAGGAAAATATCTAAAAAAAGAATCACAACGTTTTTAAACTGAAACTGAAAAATATTGTTGAGAGAAATTAAAGAAATTATCTTTTAAATGCTGTTTAGCATCATATAGGAGTGCCCTCTAAACTCTGCCAATATTAAATCAAAATCTCAAACTTGTTGAGGGAAAATGTGTACTAATTACAGATTTGAACATATATGAATTACCATTGCAATTTTAATGTCTGTCATTCTTATTTTTGTTTAATTAAAATGTCAAAATTTATTTTTATGCAGAAAAATACACTTAACACACTGCCATCATATTGCAGAAACAATGAATTAAACCTGTGATTTTTTACTTCAGCAGATGAATTTGTAATTTACATAAGCTTTCCTATTGTTATTGTCCAGCGGTGAACATTTTTCCTATTATGTATTTGCAAAACATTGTAGGAGCTTGAATAGAAATTATGTATTAACCAGTGCATAGCAATGAATTGATATTATATATTTCTTCTTTGCTCTGCTGTGTAATTCTAAATGAAGGAGAAATTAGAAAAGACTATGTGCTTATTTTGACAATGGAGGTACTGATGATTAGCAAAATTATAGTCTACAAGATAAATTTTATGGGAAAACAATGAAAAAGCAATTAGGCCTTTCCTCATTTCAACTGTGTGTTTTCCTCAAATTGTTCTTTAGCTGTGAAATATATTTATAAGGCAGTGATAAAAACTGATGTAGATATAAAACATACATTCCTTTTATATTTACTGTATGCTTATGGGATAAAAGTTATTTTAGTAGGTCTTAAGAGTAGTGACATAGTTTATTTCACCAACTCAAACTTTTAATTCTTGTTCTGCTTCCTAATTAGCTATATGACCATAGATAAGCATACTCATTCTTTGGTTTCACTTTCATCATCTATAAAATTATCTGCTTCCTAGTACACAAGAAATTTTAAATGAAAACAGTAATAACCTGCCTAATCTTATACATCATATTGGGAAAAAATAAAGTATGAAACAATATCCAGTGCTGGTTAGGATATTGGGCAAAGAAAAATTCTATACACTTCTTGTGAAAATGAAAAAAAAAAACACTCATTTGTTATAGCTATCCTATTTGCATCCCAAAATATATGTATTGTAACATTATTTTTAATGCACAAAGTTTGTTCATAATCTAATTTTTCATTAATACAATACTGTCTTATTCCATTTGCAATGTTATAACAAAATACCACAAACTGGATAAGTTATGAGGCAAAGAAACATATTTTATCTTGGTGCCGGCATTGTGGTGTAGCAGGTTAAGCAGCCTCTCGCAATGCTAGAATTCCATATGGATACTGGTTCGTGTCCCCGCTACTCCACTTCTGATCCAATTCCCTGCTAATGGCCTGGGAGAGCTGCAGAGGATGGCCCAAGTGCTTGGGCCCCTGCTGCTCCACATGGAAAACCTAGAAGAAGCTCCTGGCTCCTGGCTTCAGCCTGGCCCAACACCAGCCAGCCAGCAGATGAAATACCCCTTTTTCTCTGTCTCTCTCTGTAACTTTGCCTTTCAAATAAATAAAATAAATCTGTAAAATAATATATTTTCTCACAATTCTGATGGCTAGAAAGTCCAAGACCAAGCTCTGGCAATTTTACTCCTCTAGTGAGGGTGACTTTCTGCTTCCGAGATGGAACCTTGTTATTGCATGCTCTGGAGAAAGGAATCACTTGTGCTCCTATAGTGAAAGGTGAATAGGCACCTGAGTTGAAGACTGCGTGAAGCCTGTTTTCTAAAGGCCTCAATCCTATTCACAAGCAAGGAGTCCTCATAGCTCAGTCACCTCTTAAGGGCCCCGCCCATTTATACTTTTATACTATCACATTGGCAACATAGGAGTTTTGGACGGCATACTTTCAGACCTCACTAAACACATGCATTGTGATATTTTCATTAATAGATGATCTAATGCTTAAAATAAACAGATACATAGATGTATCATCATGAGTACATCTCAAGTATATAATGCTGCGTAAAAGAGTAAATTGTGAATAAGTTTAGCATATCATTTATGTAAATATTTAAAATGAAAAAATGTATGAAAATAATTCTATGTATTGTAGACAGAGACATATGTATGTATGCACCAACTGTGGCTACAGCTCTGCATCTTACTAGCTCTGTGGACTTGGGCAAGTAGCTTTTAAGTACTCCTTTGTGAAATGGTCATCTGTAAATGTGGATTGCTGTGAAAATTTCTTAAAGATTTATTTATTTGAAAGGCAGTTACTGAGAAAGGGAGAGAGAGAGGGAGAGACAAAAAGAAATATATCTTCCATCTGCTGGTTCACTCCCCAAATGGCGGCAATGTCCAGCCTGAGACAGACAGACCAAAGCCAGAAGTCAGGAGCTCTGTTTGGCTCTCCCACGTGGGAGCAGGGACCTAAATACTTGAGCCATTTTCTGCTGCTTTCCCAGGCCACTAGCAAGGAATTGGATTGGAAGTGGAACAGCCAGGACTTGGACCCACACCCATATGGGATGTTTCCATCACAGAAGGTTGCTTAACTTTCTACACCACAACACTGGCCCCTACTGCAAGAATTAAAAGAGCAAATTTTGAGTAAAGTGTTAACTGTGCCAGGCCAATGAAGAATATTATATAAGTGTTTGTTAAGTGAATATAAATACAAAATAGTATAAAACTTGAACTTGACAAACTGTTATTGTAGTGTGTACCTCTGGGGATATGAGAAAGGAATTTATCCTATCCAAAGAGGGCTTCAATTTCATCCATGATTTTACTTTCTTTCACAACTATATAAAAGATTAACGATTTTTTTAAAAGAAACCAGGTTCTTTTATTATTATTATTTGAAAGTGAGAGCTACCCAGAGAGAGAAGGAGAGGCAAAGAGGTTTTCCATCCACTGGTTCACTCCCCAATTGGCTGCCATGGCCAGAGCTGTGCCAATCTGAAGCCAGGAGCCAGGAGCCAGGAGCCAGGAGATTTCTCTGGGTCTCCCACGTGGGTGCAGGGGCCCAAAGACATGGGCCGTCTTGTACTGTTTACCCAGGCTATAGCAGATAGCAAGACTGGAAGTGGAGCAGCCAGGACTTGAACTAGTACCCATTTGGGATGCAGACACTGCAGGTGGTGGCTTTACCCACTACACCACAGTGCCGGCCCCAAGATTAACAATTTAATAGCACATGGTAGAGATATGAGTTACTGTTACTCCTATGTGTGCATTTTGTAATTTTAAATGTTAAAACAATCAGGAACCTCATTGAAAATTATCAATATAAAGTAGCTTCATCCTTAAAAACAAATGTTAGGCTAGATAGTCTTTAATAGTCTTTTTTAAAATTATTTAAAAGAGTTGCAGAGAGAGAGAGAGAGAGCACTTTTCCATCAACTGGTTCACTCCCCAGTTGGTCGCATTGTGCTTTGCAGACAGCACCCCCAATAAGCACAGACCTCTGTCACATCTGAAGCTAGAGGATGGGCGGGCCACCGGTGGGGAGATGGCAAGAGGCTCAACCCTATGGGAAAGCAGTAGAAGATGGCCTGAGTTCTTGGGCCCCTGCACCTGCATGGGAGTCCCAGGGGCTGGCCCTATGGCGTAGTAGGTAAAGCCGCCGCCTGCAGTGCCGGCATCCCACATGGGTGCCGGTTTGAGTCCCGGCTGCTCCACTTCCGATCCAGCTCTCTGCTATGGCCTGGGAAAGCAGTGGAAGATGACCCAAGTCCTTGGGCCCCTGCACTCACATGGGAGACCCGGAAGAAAGCTCCTGGCTTCAGATCGGCACAGTTCCAGCCTTTGCAGCCAACTGGGGAGTGAACCAGTGGATAGGAGACAGAGAGCGAGGTCTCTTCTTCTCTGTGTAACTCTTTCAAATAAATAAATAAATCTTAAAAAAAAAACAAAAACCTGCATCCCAGTCTCCCACATGGGTGGCAAGGAGCCTAAGCCCTTGGGCTATCTTCTGCTGCCTTCTCAGGTGCACTGGCAGGAAGTTGGGTCAGAAACAAAGCAGCGAGGACTGAAACCTGCACTGTGATATGGGATGTCTGCATTGTAAGCTACACTTAACCCACTGCACTACAATGCCAGCCCCAAGAAACGATTCTTATGGAATCCATCTTCAGATAGTTGAGCCTGAACCGTTGGTGCTCTCCTTTGGATTGACAGTTTTTTATTGCCTGCTTTCCATTTTCCCAGTCTTCTTCAGAACCTACTAAGTACTACAAATCTCTTAACCTGGCCACAGTGGCTCAGAAAGAAATGTTCAGGATCAGGTGGAGATCAAACTGGTAAGGAGCATGGAATTTGATGACACACTGTTAGCAAGAGTGTAGTAAACTAGGCTCGTGTACATCATTTTTGGTAGGGTACGTTGGTAGACATTTAGAGGGTAATTTGACAGAGGCTATTAAATATAAAATGAACTTACTCCTTGACTCAGCAATTATTCATGTCTAGAAATTTATCCTGCAGATATACTGATACTTACATATGCACACAAGTATGTATCATTTTAAGTAATCACTGTAGAACAGTTTATAGTAACAAAACAAGAAGCACTATCAATGCTCACCAAAGGTGCAATTAACAAATAAAATGTACATTTCAACCATACAGTGAAGTAACATGGAACAAAAATTAAGTGGAACTGTATGAGTGTCTTTTGTTTACTAAAATAGCACAGATGTGTACAGCATGCTATAATTTGTATAAAATTTGCCTACAATCATATATATACCGGTGCTGAAACTTTTCACTGTATACCTTTTGTACAGTACATTTTTATCATACACATGCATTTACTCTTTTAAAAACCAAGTGACAAATCCTGATATGTATAGTTTAAACTATGATAGTTACATACATAAAGTGGTATATATCTCTATCTTCTCACACCAGGAGTAACATACACAAACATATATACAAATAAATAGTACGTGTAAGCAGTTAAAAGTACAACAGGTATGTTTCTATACATGAAAAATGATTTGTTAAAACATCTTTAAAGACCACCTAATTATCCTTAAACTTACACAAAGCCCACTTATATAAGGCATTTAATGTGGTATTTAATCTTTTTAACCTATAAGAAAAAGTTTCCTTTTAAAAAAATGTGCAAAGTAATGTGTGCATAGTTACTGTTTAAGCTTCAGTTCTGGAAATTTTGGCTTTCATCAATAGATTCCTATAAACAATTTTAAAAAGTAAAGTATATACTTAAGCATTGAAAAACTTTAGTCTCACAACTGCTAAGATGCTGAATATGTTTTATTTATTTTTTCTTCAGTACATCATATATTTTATCCATATAAAAGACTTATCCCCGTATACATTAAAAAAGAAATCAAAATCACCTGTTCTGAGCACAACTGCTGGCCTTTCATGGTGACTACCTGGATGGTGTTACCTGTACTTTAAAGAAATGTTTACCCCCGCCCCAAATACCTCCCTGATCACCTTGACATATATTGGCCAGTACTGATTTACACTGCAAATCTATAGTATAAATGCAATCCAGGAGAGCAGACCATAATACAGTTGGTTTAAACAAGAGGGCCAAGGGCCTGGGGAGAGGCATAGTGATGTTAATGTTATACTGAATAAACAAAACTGTTATTTAATAGAATATTAATTAATGGTATGAACATTATAAGATGCCTTAACTGAAAGAACATATTATCAAAGAATTTTATGCACTGATGATACAAAATTGGCAAACTTTAGTTTCTCGTTTCCAAATGAAACACACCTCAAATGGTGGAAATGTAGAACTTGAACTACATTTTCTAATTTATGTACAGTTACAAACCAAATCATGTGCAGTTCCACAGACCCGCCCCAAAGACACTTTTCAGCATACAATTTCCCCCAATGCCATACATTTGAAATGTGTAAAATTATCTGAATATACTGCTGAATACTGAAGTACAAGTAAAACCTAAGTACTGAATTCTAGTGAGGATCATGAGTACATAATCCTAAAGGAAGACCACATGTGAATCACAAAAAATGTAATTAACGTTTAGACAAATGTCATTCCTGTAAAAGACAGAAACATAGTGCTATAAAGGAAGGTGATAGAATCATCTTTAAAGCCAAGTTTTGATTGCTTAAAAGTGTATTTGCACAGACTCCCCTCTGATTTCCTTCCCTGCTCCCCCCTCCCAATACACAAGTAAGCTCAACCGCACTCCATGTAGAAAAATAAAACCACACAGCGTCAAAAGCACAAAGGCAACGTGAAGAAACACAACTGGAAGGTAAATTTGTGCACTTTGAGAACAAGCGGTCATTCTTAGCTCCACAGGCCCGCATAGTTCCCATGGAGGCCAGAAGGGAGAGGCCCCCCAGCTACAAAGAGCTTCATCTCTGGCCAGTTGTAGCAATGCGTGTAGAGAGCATTGGGAAATTCGTCCACACCACCATAGTAGTTCACCCAGAACCCATCGTGTTTGAGCCAGCCTCTGCCACAGGTGAGCTTCAGCTTCCTCCGGGCAGTGCCTGGAGAGGAGTCCAGGACGGCGTCGCCTCTCTCCTCCAGGAACTTCTGGGCGCGGACGTCGTAGAAGAGCAGGGAGCCGTGGCCCGTTCCCACGGTGATGATGTCGTGGTAGAAGCTCAGCGAGCGCACGCCAGTGCCACCTTCCCGGGAGCACAGCGGGCGGATGTTGTGCTGGCGCTGGCGCGGATCTACGAAGGAGACGTGGGACTGGGAGCCCACGGCGTACAGGGACAACTCCTCGCAGTAGGTCAGGCACACGTTCTCCCGGAAGTAGGGCAGCCTGACGGACAGCAGCCTGGACAGGTTGCTCCGAGGTTTCCACAGGTGGAAGTAGCCGTCCAGGGAGACGGAGCCCAGCTCCTGGTTCTTGCCGCTGAAAGCCAAGGCGCGGACTTTGCGGTTACCGGGATTGATGCTGGCCCTGGGGATGGCTTCCACGTCCTTCGGGCGGATGTGGGCATACAAGGGCACCTTCATCACATTGCGCCAGGCAATGCAGTCACTGAAAATGTCAGGGTCCAAACGCCACAGAGCCACGGTGCCGTCGCGGGAGCCGCTCACAACCACGGTGTCACTCATCCAGGCGATGGCAAAGATCCAGTCGCTGTGGCCCTGGCGGTCGCCCAGGCACACGGGGTCCAGGGTGGGCAGCTGGTAGATGGCCAGACTATTGGGGTTTTCGCCCCCCGTGGCCAGAAGCGTCTTGGAGGGGTTCAGCTCGATGGCGTGGATGCCGCAGCCCGGCTGGGGCCCGACCAGCGCCGGCACCCTGTCCCGCATCAGGGGGAGGCGCGTGATGTGGCCCGAGTGCACGTCCACCACGAAGAGCGTGTTGCACTTGGTGCCGCACACCACCTGCCTGGCGTTCAGCCACTGCGACGCGAACACCTTGTTGAGGGTGCCCAGGGCCAGCGGGCGCTCCGTCAGCACCTCGGGCAGGCTCCGCACCGCGTGGCTGCTCAGCTGGCGCTCGAAGCCCGGGAGCCCCGCGCGCCCCGGCGCACCCACCTCGCGGTCCTTCAGGTAGTGCACCAGCGAGCGTCGCGGCGCCGGCCGCCTCTGCTTCTTGGGCTGCAGCGGCCCCTCTCTGTCCGCCCCGGCCGACCCCGGCGACGCCGAGCCCCCGGCGGCGGCCTCGTGCGCGGGCGCTTTCCGCTTCCTGCTACCTGCGTGCTGCGGGGCCATGGTGGGCGGCAGGCGAGCCGCGGCGGCGGCGGCGGCGGCGCGGCGACGGCGGCGGCGCGTGGCACCGGTGTTGGCCGTGGTGACGGCGCGGATGGCGGCGCCTCTGCGTCAGCGGGAGCGCGGGGTCTCAGGGCTGGACGACCGCGGGGCGCCGAGTCGCGCGGGCCGGGCGGCGGCGAAGGCGGCGGGCCCCCACGAAGCACGCGCGGCCGGAGGCAGCGGAGCGCGGGCTGAGCGGAGCGCGGCGCGGAGGGCGGCGAGGGGCGGCGGCGCGGCTCCGGGCGAGGGCGGGAAGTGCCAGGGGCAGAGGCTGGGACGAAGTCAGCGGGAGGCGAGGACGACGCGGGGGGCCGCGTGCGGGGGGCGGAGGCGGTGGGAGGGGCGGGCGGGCGCGGGGTGAGAGCGGCGCGGCGGGCCTGGAGGGGGCGGCGGGGAACGGAGCGGCGGGAGGAGGTGCCCAGACAGCCGGCGCTGCGGGACGCCGGGCTCAGGCACGTGCGGTCTCGCCGCGCTCGCCCCAGCGGCGGGCTGGGCCTCTGACCTCCCCTCCTTGAATAAACTCTGAAACCTACACTGCACCTAAGCACGGGACCGGAGAGAACCCGGGTCGCGATATGTGGGAAAACACAAATGTGCGCTGACTCCCCTCGACATTGAACTTGGCAGAGATAGGGCTGTTCGGCAGTGGCAGGGAGACCCCGCCCCTACCCCGCTTTCTGTCTGTCTGTCTGCGCTTCTCTGCTTGGAAAGTTTCAAGAGTGGAGGTCTGTGGGCTCCTGCGCCGTAACTCGCGAGGAGTGCGTTCCAAATGAAGACCCTAGCCCCAACCTCCGCCCATGCCGAGGTTCTTGATCCTTTAGTTGGCGGCGCCCCTGAGAACCTGGCAGGATGCCCTCCCTGATAGACAGAGGAGGGAGGATGAAGGGAGGCATCTTGGGAGGCACTGGTTCTCCTTGAACCTCACAGCCCTAAGGAAGGGGCGTGGAGGATCCAGGGCAGAAACATCCCCCTCCCAGGAACAGGTAACATCAGCATTGCAGTCCGGGATACTCAGGGGCCAGGGAACAGAAGCCTGTGCGCTGGACAGCGTTTCCACAGAGGAGGTAGGGAACCTTCAAGAAAGAGACAATTCATAGACAGTGGTGAGAATGCAGAGGTTGAGAAAATGGCCTTGTTCTCCGAGTGGTAGAAAGGTCCATGCTGCGCTCTTCAGTGTTCCCTGGTCCCGGGCATTCTCGCCCAACACGGGGAGTTTAGTTACAGAGTGATACACTGCTTTGCAGAGAGGCAGCTAGCTGATACAAAATGCTGCACACTCCCCAGTTCTGCTCCACAAAAATGTGTTTGTTTGAATCAGTGCGGGGGGTGGGGGTGGGGTGGGGTGGGGTGGGTAGGTAGCAGAGAATTAACTTCCCAGACCAATCAGTGGAGATTCTGGGAACTATTTTGTGGCTAGTTTTCTCTCCTCTCCCTTGACCCTTCATGCAAACTTACCTCAAGTGCACATACTCAAAGCACAACAATCTTTGATCCTTCCCACCACTCGCGTTCAGCTGCTGCATTCCATTTGCTCCCCTTTCTATATTCCTTCCCATTTTTAATGCCATATTAGCAACAGGTGAGGATGGTGGACAGGGAGTAGCCTGACACTAAAATACTGAAGAGTTCGTAGTTAGAAGTGACATTACTAGAGAGAAAGTGACCACAAATTCTTTTAACTTAACCTACCATAAGATTTTCCTTTCTTTAAATTCCGACTTCTAAAATATTGGTATTATGTAAGAATTCATGATATAGTTTCTAATATTGTGGTAAAATAAAATGGACTGAAAATCTTGATATATGTCAGCCTACTTAGTCATAACATGTATATATAACAAAATAGGCTGAATATTCACATGTATTTGTAAGAATAAACAGTGCTTAGATACTTATTTATTGAAACTGAATCATGGGCTGGAGAGTTGTGCTGAACAAATTAGATGCAAAGTGATCTATGTAAATTCAGTCTCACAATAACTTTATAAGGAAGGTTCTTTTTTTATTTTCATATTTTAAAATGCAGAGTCTGAAGCAGGCATTGTGGCACAGTGGGTTAAGGAGCTACTTTGGGATGCCAGCATCCCATATCAGAGTTCCTGGAGCTGAGTCCTGCCTCTGCTCCTGATCCAACCTCCTGCTAATATGTACTGTGGGAGACAGCAGGTGATGGCTCAAGTATTTGGGTCCCTGCCATCCACATGAGAGATCCAGATGGAGTTACTGGCTTCTGGTTTCATCTTGGCACAACCTTGGCTATGGCACACATTTGAGGAGTGAACCAGAGAATGGGAGATATTTCTTTCTCTTTGTCACTCTGTCTTTCAAGTCAAAACAGACAAACTTTAAAATGAGGAAACTAAGTCTCAGAACTGGTAGTAACCCTCCTATGGTCCTGTCAAGATTTGAATCCTTTTCTGACTAATGCTGTTGAGACTAATGACTACTCTGTATTATCCACCAAATACACTTTTTTCTGTATCCTCTTTGAAATCATGTAAGTTACTACTGTGAAAATTTTATAGGTGTTGTGTCTTGTGCACTTCTGGAAAACAGCAGTAATTATTAAAGTAAGTAAATACAGAATGCAAATTATGTGCAAAAATTTCCATATGATATTTAAATGCAAAAATGTAATCTCTGACATATGAGTTTTCTTTCACAAATTCTTTTTAATTAACATTTTTGAATTAATATAGATTAACTTTTTTTGCCTTTTTAGGATTTATTTATTTGTTTGAAAGAGTTATAGAGAGAGAGAAAGAGAAAGAGATCCTCATCTGTTGGTTTACTCTCCAGATGGTTGCAATGGCCAGGGCTGGGCCAGGCTGAAGCCAGGAGCCAGGAGCTTCATCCGGGTCTCCCACGTGGGTGGAGGGCACAGACACTTGGCCTAACTTCCGCTGCCTTTTCAAGGGCATTAGCAAGGAGCTGGATGTGAAGTGGAGCAGCCGGGACTTGAACCAGCACCCATATGGGATGCTGGCATTGCAAGTGGCAACTTTACTGGAATAACTCAACCCTGGATCCAAGTTTTTTAAAAAAAATTGGTAAAGGCACCATTCAAATAATTTCGCTGTATACCTCTCCTCTTTTATTAGTATGAATATGCAATTTATTTATGTATGCTAATATGTAGTCAATGTTAATATTATTTTGTTTTAATAAATGAATTGTATCAATTTTATCTAGAATGTTATACCTGAAACACATTTCATTTATGACTACACTTTCAAATTTATCTCATCTCTTTCCTGAAGCATGTACAAATAACTTCCAGACCAGAGGCAAATGATGTTGAGAGATGTACAATTATTCATATGAACTTGCACTTTTAAACATTTTCTTGCATTTGATTGCTTCCACTTGTAGGAAAACACAGTGTCTGCTAATATATAAAGTTGTAAGAAGAGCATTTATTGTTGAAGTAGTAGATGAAATGCCATAATAATAAAAATTTCAGGTGTCTGCCTAGCCTTCTGAGTGTCAGGTTCTTCATTATGTACTTACTTTATTTCTGAAGGCCAATATGAGTATAAATATCTTGTTAGTCCTTATTAATGCATGTCTATGTTCATGGTAGTTTTTGCTTTGTATTAGGCTTGACTCTTTCCATATACTAGATTCCCCTCCACTGGATGTGGTCACATATGAGCACTTCAGGGCACTGCCATGCTATTCTCTATAACTTCTTCAGTGTGGTCAAATTCTTTACTCAGTAGATTGTAAACTCCTTAAGATGTTAGATAAAGTTTCCTACTACTTTTGTACCGTCACACAGTTGTAGGAATATAATAGGTTTATAATACTTGTGATTGGGGCAAGCCTTGTGGCACAGCAGGTTAAGCTGCCACAAGAGACCAGTATCCCGTATCAGAATGATAGTTGGAGTCCTGGCTGCTCCACTTCAAATCCAGCTCCCTGCTAATGCACCTGGGAAAAACCACAGAAGATGGTCCAAATACTTGGGCCCCTGCCACCAATGTGAGATACCAGGATGGAGTTCTAGGCTCCTAGCTTCAGTCTGGCCCAGCCCTGACTGTTGCAGTCATTTGGGGAGTGAACCAGCAGATGGAAGACCTCTTTCTCTGTCTCTCCCTTTGTCTCTGTCAGTGAGCTTTACAAAGAAATAAAATAAATCTTTAAAAAAAACTTGTGATTTATATGTTAATAACCAAAGAAATAATGGGAGGAAAATAAATTGAAGAATTCACATAGAAGTAGCTATTTTATGAACAAATTAATTGAAGTAGAAAAAGTGAAAGATTTGAACTAAATAATGTACACAAATTGTAACTCAAGAAAATTATATTACATTATTACCTGTATTTATTGATCCATCTATATATTTGTATATGCTTCTTTTTTCATCTTACTGAACAATTTTCTTATCCTTATCTGCCTACCTATCTAACCTATGAATGCAGAAAATGATATGATTAGCAACAACCATGTTACATTACTAAATTTAAATTAATTTGGTCAGATTTGTTATTTCAATGTAATATTATGAATCTAAGACTGGTTATCAAATGTTACTAAAATTATATTGATAGGCTAATCCTCCAGCTGCAGTACCGGCACCCCAGGTTCTAGTCCCAGTCGGGGCACCAGATTCTGTTCTGGTTGTTCCTCTTCCAGTGCAGCTCTCTACTGTGGCCCGGGAAGGCAGTGGAGGATGGCCCAAGTGCTTGGGCCCTGCACCCGCATGGGAGACCAGGAGGAAGCACCTGGCTCCTGGCTTCGGATCGGCACAGTGCACTGGCCATGGCAGCCATTTTGGGGGTGAACCAAAGGAAGGAAGACCTTTCTCTCTGTCTTTCTGTCTCTCTCTCTCTCTCTCTAACTCTGCCTGTCAAAAAAATAAAAAATAAATAAAATTATATTGAAAGCATTACTATTTTTAGCTTTAAAAACTAAAATATAAGTAGTTTCAGGGCAAAGACACTGAAAGATAAGAAAGGCAAGGTTATGGCAAACTCTGGGTCAGGAGCAAGTCTGAAGAAATATTCAATTCTGAAAGCATATTTTTCTTAATTTTCTACAAGGATATAGAAGTTACTTTATTACTTTACAAATACAGGCTTACAGATTGGAACTGATTCTCAGGTATAGAGGCATTAATCTTCAAAAGTAAAATTTGATAATGATTAACAGTAGGTTGAAAATATGTGTAGATAAAGGTGCTGTTCTTAAAAGTATTTGGTGACATCTGTGTTTGTGTGTGTAGTCCTTTCATCATCTTTTCCAACAAGTACAAATATAATGAATACTGAAACATTATTAATTTGTCTTG